TACTTACTTGGAAACAGATATGGGGTTTCGGGCCAGACCCTGGATGAGGACCCGTCTGAGTTTGGTGGAAGTGGCCGAGTGGGCTAGATTGAGAGAGAGGTCATACATCTCACTCCACCTGATGGAGTCGCAGAAGGAGGTAGCTGAGATGACCTCTGATGACCTCAGTCTGAGGAACTCTTCTAACCACCTGAATAAAAAACATTTCAGTTGACGAAGAAAAAGAATCGGATTTTGTTAACTAAGTCCCCTTTGGTACCCAGTGTAGAAGTTCACCCTATAAATTACTATTTAACTTGTAACAAAATTCCTCCCTTTTGCAATACGGGGGAGGGGGGACAGTTAACAGCATCCAAGGAATTTAGGAGCGCGTGACACATTGTATGAGTTCAAAAATGATGAAAATACTTTTTTAAATTGAAATACTGAGTACTGAGTAATGCGTAATGAAGACATAATAATTCTTGCAAAGAAGGGAACCAAAAATAGAGGGGTCAGAAGAGACCATTGAACTAAACAAAACATTGAATCGAAACTATTTTCTCGCGAATTTGATTTGAAACATAGCTGCATGCTCAACAACCATATCCGGGTGCTTTCTCCTGGACACGTGAGACGCAAAATAAACTAGGGTCGTGTTCGATGAGAATTAAATCTGTGAGCTCGCAGCAATTTTAAAATCAGCAGCAATTTTGATTAAAACGCAAGAAAGCGATGATTTTTTGAAAATCATAACGGGTAACTTTTTGTGAATGCTTCAAGCGTGCGAGTGAAAGGAGGCCAACTATTTCACAAGAAAAGACTAAATTTTTGTGTTTTTAATCACCTTAGTGTAGTTTTATTCGATAAGCTGAAACAAACATCGACTGTTATATACTTCACTTTTTAAAAGTTAAAGCTTTTCATAATACATGAACCGAAACATACCAATTTCGAATTTTTAAGCAGCCATTTTTGACGGACATTTTTTATGCCATCTGAAAAAATGTGTTGTTCAGAGCTCAATATTAAAAGGAAATTTCACCTGTGATTTTTTTTGTTCAGTTATGGGGTTTAAGCGATCGCCAACTTGGCTAATTTGGGGTAATTAACGCGCGATATATTTATACTTCGTGCTGTTGATGCGTGAGCGCAGTTTCAACCCGTCTTAGAAATCATTCCGAATTGAATTGAGGCATGCTACTTGATCTATTTAAAAATATGCTATACAAGAAATATATATTTTTGTGTACTTTAGATAGCATATAAATTGGTTTTCAAGAAAAATGTTTATATTAAATTGAACCAAACTTTTCAAACTGATCACCATGTAGACGTTACAGGGCAGTCGGACCAAAATTATTAGAACTGGTTGAGTATGAGCACGCCATTTGCGGAATCGAATGACATGTTAGGCAATTCAATGCAAATTTTTGAATCGAAAAGCAAATTATGGGCTCGAATGAGTTTTGAGTGGAATCCGGAGCAGTGAGTTATCACCTTTAGTCTGTACTCATGAGTAACTTCAAAAAAGGTACACCGTCTGTTCGTCACGCTATCTTATTTTCGGCCGGATAGATTCGTGCAACCTCTTAGTCTAATACCAATCTTAATCTTACATTTATATCTCCTAGTCTCAATAGATCTAGTGTATACTGGTTTTCGCGAGTTAGTTCTTGGAGTTTATCCAGAAGGAGAACAACTGTAGTCTAAGGTTTATTCAAATTGTTCTGGTGCTGAAACTACAAGTAGTTTTAGCACTTACAAATAAGTGTCAATGTTAGAGATGGAATATGATTGGTTAGTTAGTAATATTTTATAGTGATAGTTTTATCAATAAAATAATTGTATTTATATCCAATTATAAAAATTAGTTTAGAACTGGTTCCAGCAGCCTCAATGATAGTTTTTTTGGAATCATTGTAGAAGTGACAACACCGTATAAAACACACGAGAAGTCTTTTCAAGGTGTTTTTTGGCTATGAAATTTGCAACATTTTTTGTCAGCGGATTCTACAAACTTGAGTCTCAAAAGTTTAAAGTCTTCGCTTCGGATTCCAGTAGCTTTTCTTTTTGTACTCCTGAATTTTATCCTGCGCTCATTACATACCGCGGACATCAAAACAATTTAATTGATAAAGAAGTTTTCTAAAAGTAATTAACCTGATATATTTGATTTTTTTCTGTACTGAAAAGATCTATTTCTCGTCGAACACAAAAATTTAAAAAATTTCCAGATAAATCTATCTGGTTCGCATTTGCAGCTTTACTTCGAAGCCTACAAGAGTTGATTTGTTATATTACGTTATTTTGATTCGATTTTTGACTTCTGCTATGTGCTGTTGCTTAGCAGTTAACGCCATTCGACATTTCAGGCACAGCTAGGAGTATCTTTTTGGCCAGAAATAGCCAAGATTTAGAAAAGGTCTGAGTAAAAAATCTGATACGATTTTCAAGTTTTCGCGTCAGAATTACATAAATTTTTAGGTGCGAGAAGTTATAGAGATAAAATCTCGATAAACAAGAAATTTAAGTTTGTTAGACTTCTAACAAACTTTCCGAACTTTGCAGCTTTTGAGTTTTTGAAAAAGAACCACTAAATTTTATTGTCAATTTTTTTTTCAGTGTTTGTTTTCCGCTGAGATTGTTGTAGACGTGGTGATTTGTATGGGCTAAATACAGAAGTTCCAAATCACGCAAACTTAAAGCAAATTTATCTTTTAAGAAAATCGTTCAAGACTCAATCGTTTTCAAATCTAGATTTTTTCTCAAAAAGCAATTAATTTGCTTCATATGCACTTTTTATTCGTTACGTTAACTGACATCGACTGAGCAAAAACATTAAAGTTTTTTAGACACTGAATTTACATTAGGAACCCTGTTAATTTCTTGGGACCACTCTACCACGCTTGTATCTCTTATGGTTTTGAACAATAAAAACATGCAGTTTTAACTTCTGAACATTGCTTTAGCCTAATTGTTGTGATAAAATTATTAAATAGCATTTCACTTTTTCAAACCGTGTATTTTCAAACGAAATGAGATAGAGGCCTAAACATATTTGATTCTAACAAAAGTCCCGCCTGCCTCTATCTTGGTGGGTGAAGATTAATTACTGGGCGAAGTCAATTGATTCGTTCTCTATTCTTGGTGCACGAAGATTTATTACTGCTTTATTATTTTAAACCCTATTTTGGTGGTGAAGACTGACTTATTCTTATAGAAGCTGATTTTTGTCGGTATGTCTGGAAGCGAGCAATCGGATACCGATAAGAAATGCGGACGACTTGGTTCGAAAGCCTACTTTCCAACTATAGATCAACTCGTTCAAGCCACTGAGCCGCAGTTTTAGCAAAGATAACAAAAAGCAATACTGAGTGTCTTCTCCGGGAAGCCATCTCTCAGTTAAAACTCTCTAAATCTTTTCAGGAAGCCCAGCAAAAAACAATGGCAAGCATTGAAACGAAAGTTGATGCTCTCACAAACGATGTATTCACATTGAAATCAACCTTTCGCCAACCTGAATCTCAAAGTGTCGCGTTATATTCAGCTGCCCCTGAGAATCCACATAGCACGGTCCAGTTATTCGATCAACAAATTCGTATTGATGGAATTCATGAATCGAAAGGAGAATATGCTACTCAAACGGAATCTGACGACGCCCAGATTACAGCTTTCCCGCAGCATCTAGGCGAAGATCAAGCACCCATATCGATAACAAAAAGAATTGGACCCTTTGATGCAAAATCGACACGAACAAGAACCATGATTGTGGAGTTCCCTTCTGTTTGGATTGCCCGAAAGATCCTTTCAAAAGGACATCTACTGAAAACCTTTGACAAACCTATATTTTTTTTCAAAATCGCAAAATCCGACTGAACAGGCTCCGCAGCGAAAAGCACTAATCAAACGCAAGGAACTCATACAGCATAACGTTGATCCTAAAGAGCTTCCGATACGAAACCTTAAGCTGTATCATAACAATGAGCTGGTACCAACTGACTGACTATTGATTTCATGCTGCCTTCTGAATACACAGAGCCTGATTAAAAGTGATCGCCGTATCAAATTTGCAAATTTTCTTTCGTTACATTCGCCTGATTTCGTGTTCCTCACCGAAACGTGGCTGAATAGTGATTTTGACAGCTAGAGATCCTTCCATTTGGAGATTACACTGTTATCAGCCGAGCTGAGCGCAAAGCAACACAACGTGGAGAAGTTCTTATTGCGATGAGAAAATTGTGTATTATTCAGTATTCCACTAAGGTATATTCTAACTTTTCAGCCTCTATCGAAATACACACAGCAAGCTCTGCACATTGCTTTTGCCTAATCTACAATCCTCCATCCCAGTCCTCATATAGGCTAACCATTGAAAATTTATCCGTTTGCCTGCAGTCATGTTATAAATGGCTTAAGAAAAATTGCGATTCAAACCACATCTTAGCGGACTCTAGGTATTTTACCGTGCTTGGTTATATCAATCTTCTTGATGTCTGTTGGAAATCTGGCGAAGCTACTAGTTCTTATTCGACTGAATTCCTATCAATAGTTGAAGATTTTCACTTCACACAAATTCTTGATGAGCCCTCACATGTTGACGGGAATTTGCTAGACGTTATTCTGTCCTCCAATACAGAAATATCCGTATCGGTTTCCGAAAAATCATATTCAGACCACTTCGGCGTGTTCTTCTCCTTTCCATTGGATTTTATTCCTTGCACTTATGCTCGTACATCAGTTTTTAGTCAAAACTGGTTCCGGAGAGATTTGTTCAACTCACATCTGCACGAACTATACCAGCTGGCATGCCTTCCTCAACATGCCGATGTATCATATCAGATTTACGAATCAATTCTAACTGCGCTTCGGGGATCGTGCAATTTAAAAAGCAAAAATCGTTCTGGTCTTCCATATTACTACTCGTTTCATACGATCCATTTGCTAATAAAATCAAGACGTTAAAGCGCAAAGAATGTGACAGCAGCACCTCAATCAGCAGGCTTCAGGCGGCTTACGAGGAATCAGTCGAACTTGACAAGGCCATACTTTTTGATCGAGTTTCGTACAATTCTACTAATGATTGTTTTATGTTTCTCCGTAGTTTACGTTCATCGTCTGATTATCCTGGCTGTCTAGCATGGGGAAGCGACAAGCAAGCTCTGCGATATCCAAAGCAGCACTTTTCAATGAATATTTTGTCTCTGTCTATTCTGCTACCATCAACTCCTATGACTGCATTGCACAACCAAATGCTCAAATACAATTGAATCAATTAAATATTACCGTATCAAATGTTTCAGAACTACTAAGTAAAACATCTAACGGGTCGATAGCATGCTATTCTATTGCGCCGTTTCTCCTGTCCGCCTGTGCGAATATACTTGCCCGAAAATTCGCTTCCTGTTCCAGTCAATTTTGAGCTATGATATCTGGCCCTCTTTCTGGAAATGTGCGTTCATTACTCCAATCTTTGAATCTGGTTCTGCTATTGACGTTGAGAACTACAGGCCAATAAGCATTCTTCCTAAACTCTCTCTAGTACTTGAGAGAAGTATCTTCAATTACATATATCCCTAAGTTAAAGCCAAAATCAGCAACTCGCAACATGTATTTTTTAAAAATAGGTCTTCAGTTACTCAGCTAGTGGAGTTTGTTGACTTAATCTATACCTGCAATGACCAAAATATAGCTACATGGACCGTCCATTTTGACTTTCGGAAAGCTTTTGACTCTGTTCCGCATAATCTCCTCCTAAATAAATTATCAATTATGGGCCTTGATCAGAAGTTTTTTTGACCTGCTTTCTTCTTATCTCTGCGGTCAGTCACAGCGTGTGCGCGTTGATGGCGTTCTTTCCGAATCTCTCGAAATCACATCCGGTGTACCCCAAGGCAGTGTGTTGGGCCCCCTCCTATTTCTAATTTTCATCGATGACCTTCCAGATGCCACTTCCTCTTCCATTTGCTTCTTATTTGCTGATGACTGCAAGCTTACATCTTCATCGTCAATGCAAGATATTCAAACCGATATTGACGAGCTTGTTGCATGGTCTTTACGAAATGGCCAAACGCTTCATCCAGACAAGACGCAGCTTCTCGCTGTTTCTAATGGTTGCGGGAATTTTCGCATGTCGGGCTTGCCAATACCTAGCAAAAACCCGGTGAAAGATCTTGGACTTCTGATATCATCGAATCTATCATGGAACGATCACAGAAATGTTAAGCTTACCAAGGCTAGTCAAATTCTTCATTTCATGATGAGGAATTTTCCCTATTCATGCCCTATTGCTGTCCGTGCAAAGTTTTATGAGTTATGCGTGTTACCAAGTTTGTTATATGCTAGCCAAGTCTGGTCGCCATCTCTGTAGTGTTTACGCAAAATGGAGACTTTTCACAAAATGGCATTGAGATGGATAACGCGCTGTCAAGACCACGTAATGAATTTGAAGACGACCCGATGCCTACCAATATCCTACTATAATATTTTCTATGGCCTGTGTTTTTTCAACAAGCTTCTTCACCGCGACTATGACTTGCACCCGTTTCAATTTTTGAGTTTGGACTACAAGCGAGTATCTGGAAAACCCGAGCTACGACCCTTCTTTTTATGCAATCAGCGAAGCGTCAAACGTATTACCGATGGTTCTTTCTTTCAACGAATAACACGTTCCAGCAACTACATTACGAAGAAGACCTACATCCGTTTATTTTCGCCTCCGACTGTGTTCAAGAGTCAAAACAGGATATATCTAACTGAAAGAATAAAACTTTTCGCATTTGAAAACTCCTGCTCGTGGTATCTTAAATGCATTTGTTCAAACTGTAGATTATATATATATTTTTTAAATTTGTTTAATGCCTTGTAATTACTTTAATAAGGGAATTTAAGTCCTTTAGTAGTAGTAGTAGTAGTAGTAGTAGTAGTAGTAGTAGTAGTAGTAGTAGTAGTAGTAGTAGTAGTAGTAGTAGAACAACACCAGAATTTTTCAAATGATTTAAGCGTGACTCAAAATTGTATCAATTCTCAGCATAATACAATTTTTCGGTATTGCTTTTTTTCAAGTTCAACGAAAGTTCTATAGAAAATCAAGTTCAGCATAACTCTTGTTCATCAAATTAACTTGAATTTTAGAAATTTAGAAAATTATGATGACGAAATATTAAATTTAAAGGTAAGTCCTTCTTGTGAACCTGTTGCGCTCAAACTTTTCTGTATGGTTGTAACCATAAACTCAGGGTTTAAGTTACAATGCCATAATTGTTGTTGTTGATTTGTTTATCAAACCGAAAATTTTACTGTGCTTTATATGATGGGGATGACCAATTTTTCATGCCGCTTCAATAAAAAACGAGTTTTTTACACTTTTGTGTTTTATTGAAAAACATGCACTCCATTTTTTCTAGTTTACTATCTGTGCAGAAATCATTTAATATTAATTGTAATCTAATTCTTCTCAAGTGTGGAAAGTTAACTCTGTGCTCAGGGTTGTTTTTTTGTTCCTGAAGGCCATTTATAGCGTAATAAAGACAAAATTTTTACAATGCTTTGATTTCGTTTTCTTAAAATATTGATACCATGCTCTTCTTGCGTCAAAATTTCCCCTCTAATTGTTTTTAAAGGCTTTTAGGTCAAGAATTTTGCCTCATTCAGGTTCCATTACGCCAACGCTTTGCAGCAGCAACAAAAAAGTTGAATGTAAGGCTCCAACCACTTTTTCAGCCTCGTTTTGAACCTATTTGTTGGATTTGTTGTTTTTATACGTCGGGCACTCTGATTGGCCAAGTCATTATAATTGGCAGAAATACAGATTATTGAAACAGCAAAATTATTGAAAGAAAACTACTGTTGAAAGAAAACTATACCACTCGTGCCTCTTGTGAAGGGGAGGGAGGCTATTCTCATGATGAGGAACTGAACGAAGGAAAGTTTTCAACCAATCAGGTCGCTAAATGGTTTTTACACAAAGTTATCATGAAATGAACTTAAACAGTACTGCCAAGTTTTGCTGAACAATTCGTGAGCAGAGGTCGATCAAGACTGCTCGTATATCAAAGTGAAGCGCTGAATGTTCCGACTGCGCTTTAAGGCAAAATTAAAAATTTTTGTTTGAAAAATTGATAGAAAAATCAACAAATTTCTCTTTTTTTCTTCGTTTTAACCCCACACACGCTATGTAAAATACAAAATGATGTAGTTAGCGTATTGTGTCCCACTAATAAGATCGAATGACTGACCTCAATTAAAGCATTGGCAGAAGCTCTTGGTTGGAAAGTCGAAATTTGAATTAAAAAAAAAAACCACCACAAGCTTAAAATTTCAGTAGTATCTTTGAAAGTCGGAACAACAATTATTTTGTTTTGTTTTTCCATTTTGTAGAATTGGTATCTTCTAAGTATAACATAAACTTTGTACATTCATTTTGCTCATTTTTGAAAAACATCTTCATTGGCTGATTTTTTTCCACTTTTACATTCGGTCACTTTTACACCTTTTTTTGTCAGCAAAGCAGAACAAGCAATCGTTGTGTTAACGCCTCGCGTAAGGTTACGCTTTGAGAAATTTCAATTTACAAAACACTAAAAACCTTGAAAGTTTTAAACTACTGTGGGTTGCTATCAGGTTACACTCAGAGCTTGACAATTTGGCCTCCAATTATTATATAAAAATTTTTCTGTTTTTCGAGGTATGGCTTTTTTATGATATTTTCCTTTTTTCAAAAAAAACTTCGTTTTCAAAAAATTAATAGAACTAGAAACTCACAATCCTATGACCGTAAACTCTACGAATACCTTATACGGTTGAAACTTTGACCTCCAAGTGTTCTTGCTTGTTTTTTTTTGGTTTTCGAAACATGTCGTTTTTTATAGCATTTAAAGCTCTCAGCACTAAGGTTATGTGTTTGCAAAGTTTCAAAGTAAATTCAGCGATTGCAGAATGGGCCTCCAAATATGAATGATCAAAAACTTTTAAAAGCCGAGATATGGCGTATTTTATGCTTTTTCAATTTTTTTCTTCGACAATTATAATTTTTTAAACATGACAAAACTTAAATCATGTGTTATGGAGCTGTAGAAAATTTCCAGAGGTTGCAAAGCAGGCTTTTAATTGAACTTCTCAATTTTAGTTTACGAGATGTGATATTTTAAGCTATTACTTCAAATTGTTAGTAAGCAAAAGATTTTTTTTTCTAAATTTTTGACTTTTTAAAAAAATAAAAGTTATATCAAAAGAATATGTGTATGCTGTCGGTTTTTAGTGACTTTTTCTGAAATTGAATTGAAACTCAGTAGTTTTGGAGATATGGGCATTTGGTTGGAAAAACGGGCTTCAAAAATTGTTCAAATAATGAAATAGAAAACCCTGATGAATGGGTCCAATTTAAATTTATGATTGCATTAAATTTTGTTGTTTGTTGTCATTTGAAGCTCAGTTGGTGTGAGTCATGCGCTAGTTAACCTATTAAACGCTTTTTAGCCGTTTAAGTTGCTCAAATTTGCCGATATTGCCATCAGTTTGGTATTACAAAAAAGAGTTGCCAAAAACTCGGATAAACATAATAGAAAAGAGCAATTTTTGTTCCGACTTTCGATACGAAAGTAACGGAATATTTGTGCTCGGGGTGGGTTTTTTTTCCTGCAGACAAATTTCGACTTTTTACCTAGCCATTTTTGACGGAATTTTTTTATATCATTCGAAAGCTATTGTTATCCTAAACTTAAGCTTGAAAAGATATTTTACCTTTGATCATTTTTCGTAAAGTTATGGGGGTTTAAATATTGGCATTTTGGCCAATTTGGGACAATTAACGCGCGATATATTTCGCGCTATTAACGCGTAAGCGGAGAGTTAATCCGTCTTAAAATTGTTCCAAATTGGTTGAAAGAAGCTTATTTGCCATAATTGATATCTTACAAGGAGCTAAATCTATCTTTTTGTACTTTAAATGTCGTGTGGGGGGGGATGATTTTCATAAAAAATTTCAAATTAAAAAAAAATTTCATTTTATTTTATTACATTTAATTTTTTAATGTTATTACTGCTCTATAAAACCTTAAAAGGCAGTCGGAACATTCAGGGCTTCGCCCTGATACGAGCAGTCTTGTTCCATTTTGGCTGAGTTTTGCATGCAATTTTGATGTTTCAAAAACCGTGATACGTAAACTTGATCTGAAAAACTAGCTTTTGCATGCAAACCTTTTTCACAAATTGCTCAGTTGCTCTTTTAATTTAATTTTGTGGGTCTGAACAATTTGCTACTAATTATAAACAAAAAACTGTTTATATAGATGAATTTTCATTCAGACGGGCCTAAATAACTAATCAACATTTTTTAAAGCATTTCAAAAAAACGATGGTGAACTCTGTGATGGTATCAGATAGCAAACTGATACTTTTATTTTGAGTGGACTCACTTTTCAAACGTGGACTGGCTGGGGACATATTTGAACTGCTGGTTGATTCGATCCAGCACCGAGTTTGTCCGAGTCAGACATTTCTCATTCCCAAAGTAGCACGCGTGGTTTATTGTCACTGACAAACAAATGTCTCTAAAATTTCCCAAAAATGTATTTGAAACAAAGTCTGAAAAATTAAGTTAATTCATTTGAATTAACGAAAGAGTTTTTTTACTCACGGATCAATGTTTAGCAATGATGGTTCACACTCTGTTTCGTATATTGACGACCAAATATCACCGAAAAACTTCTGCAAATCACAGATTTTTATAAAATTTCGCAAAATACTTTCAACCTTAAATAATTATTTGAAAAATGTGAACCCAAAATTTACCTTGAGAAAATAGGGATATCTCATTTCGAATCGATGAAGAAAAAACTGAGTGATATCTCCCAGTAAAAACTTGATATCTTTTGAAGTTTCGTTTCCTGCGTACTGAATCAAATCAAGCAATGCTGAAGCTGGAGATGCGTTATTCCTACGGAAAGAAAACATTCACCATAAATTTTTAGATAAAGACAACTGCCCCATTCTGTTTTTTTTTGTTTTGCAAATTCAAACTGAATGTAAAAAAGTTTGATTCAAAAAAATGAAGACAAATATAAGTGTTTTACTAACTTGAGTAACGTGAAGTAGCCTCTGATAAGTGAATAACGTTCAACTTCCGGAATTTTCTAAAAAAGAAAACAAACAACTTCAAATTTCTTTCATAAGAAACATTTTTCAATGACTTCTTTCAGCTCATGCGCTGTAATGGAACTAAAAACCTCGGGTCGAAAAATGGTAAAAGCAATGCAAAACAATACCGGTCTAGAAAATGAGAAAATGATCCAAAATTGACTATATCTCAATTTTGAGCAGAAATGCAAGTCAGCCTTTCGTAACACCATATTATCGCAATACGGACTTACCAAAAAGTTTTGCTTCAATTGCATCTTGACTTTCTGAATCAAATTTGAGTCGTACATTGGTAGAAACCATGCAATATTGGCGGCTCGGAAGGTAGATTCAGTCGAGGAGGTTGATTGGAGCTGAGTATCTGGTTGGCTAATGAGAGGAGAGCCTCTTGTCATCGACCCCCCACACATTGCTGTGAGGACGAACTGATTGTCGAGCAAACTAATCGGGGTCAGTTCTGAAAAAGCTTCAGATACCGTAAAAAATTGAGAGACATTCCCGAAAAACCAAAAACAAGTAATTAATCCACAGTTCAGCATTACAAAAATTAGTTCTTTTTCGGGAAGAAGTTCTTTGCATTTTTTTCCTTCAAGAGCGATCAACAGCAATTATTTTCAAGCAGAAAGTTCATTTTATCTAAGTTTATGAGTCCACATATAAATTTTCCGTTTCAAAAACTTAGTATTCAGTTTATTACTTAATATTGCGCTATTTGAAAACATTACCTTTATAATTTTGGTTAATCCAATAGTCCGCCTGGGTTTCAGTTCCAAACATAACAGTAGTTTTGAAATTCCAAGAATACGCTTTCAAATCTGTTTTTACAGGAAACCAACTCGAATTGGTCGGTTGAGTTTTGAACGCCAATTGCTGCTTATTGATTGGCTGTTGACTGGCTAATAGGAGGCTTCGATTTTCATCAAATGAGAGTTTTAGAATTGGGAACGTGGAAGCGTAGAGCCAGGGTAACAGGAAGGAATGAAGGTCAAAACCACGAGAGTCTCTCAGTTTCTAAAACAGGGATGTTTTTGGAGCTCATAAACCCGTTTTTTATTTTAAATTCAGACTCCAACAGGTATTCCATCCGTGGAAATATCTACAATTTTCTCGACTGGAAGGAGTTAATTGTTCGAAAGTCGGAACAAAAAAGGCATTTTTTGCCGGTCACCAAATTGCCAAAAAATTTGCAAAATTTTGGGGGGCCAGATTGATTTTCCGAGCTCTCCCAAGCCTTAGAAAAAGACCATATTTAACCAAAACTGACTGAAATCAAAAAAGTATGAAAGCCCGCCTTTATTGTTCAAGCACACTTTCTCCAAAAATCGTTTGTACTGCAATAATTTTGCCTTCACAACTTCTTTTGATTCTATGCAAATGCTGCAGTTTTTTGGTGGAATTGATTTTGCAAAAATTTATTTCGCGATTTATTTTGGTGCAGATTTTTTTTGCCATTTTTGGCAAAGTATCGCTCAATCAAAAAGTGTTGCTAAATCTACTGGGTCAATCGTTGAGAAAACTTATATCAAAAATTCTTTCATGCAAATCCCAACAATTTACAAGAAAAGTAGATTTTGTAAATTTTTTCTAAAAAGAAGATACTTTTGTTTGATTGCCATAAAATGTCAATTTTGTTCAGGCTTTTCAGGAAAGTGAGAAATATATTTGCTTGAGATGGGTCAAACCAATTTGAAAAGAATATTTGCTAACTTGGGGTGCACGTGAGATTCACCGGGGATGGGGGGGGGGGGTCACCACTATATTAACTTGACTGGATGATCAACCTGAACCGGTTCTTTCTAAACTGCTCGTTTTATACTTTGCTGCTAAAAGTTTCAGGCAAAATATGTAAGCCACGAATTGCCCCTAACTACGAAAATGAACTGAGGCAAACAAAATTGTTCGGAATTGAGGTGAAGCAATATCAAACATTGATATTATCGGTTAGAGTTAATAGTTTCTCAAAATTCAATTAACCAAAAAAATAATCGAGACCAGTTAAAGGGCAGAGTTGGAACATTCTGGGCTGGTTTTTTCCTGATATAAGGAGCCTTTATACGGTATAAACTAATTTTTCGATTTTGAAACAATCTTATGACATTTGGGTTTTTCGAGACTCTACTTCTCCTAAACCTTCGTGTTCCAACTTTCTAAGAAAGTTACGAAGTATTTGTGCTCGGGTTGGTTTTTTCTCCAGGCAAATGTCAACTTATCATTACTGGGCCAAACTTTTGTGAATTGTAAGCGAATTCGCAACAAGCCAAAAACAGAGTTGTTTTGGAATCCGCAACCTTGCAATATTTCTTTGATCTTCTTTGCCATTTTGGATTGCACGGACAATTAGCTAAAACGATCTGTTGCTCGAAATCATTCCAAAACAGGTAAATTTGCGGAATCCGCAGCAAAAGTTCTGAAATCCGCAACAAAACTTGTGGAATCCGGAACATTTTGTGGAATCCATAAACAAATACTATTATGACACAAGACTGCTCGCATCAGGGCGAAGCCCTGAATGTTCCGACTGCCTTTTAAGTTTTTTGGAGCAGTAATAAGATTTAAAAAATTAAAGGTAATAAAATCAAATGAAAAATTTTTTTTCTTCTAAAATTTGAAATTTTCTTTGAAAATCATCACCCCACACGCCATGTAAAGAACAAAAGAATAAATTTCGCTCCTTGTAACAAATCAGTTATGGCAAACTTCTTTCAACAAGCTTCTTTCAACCAATTTGGATCGATTTCTAAGACGGATTAAATCTCCGCTTACGCGTAAATAGCGCAAAATATATCGCGCTTTATGGTCACAAATCGGCCAAAATGGCTGGCAGTCTTTAAACCGCCATAACTTTACGAAAAAAGATCACAGGTGAAAAATCTTTTCAAATTTAAGCTCAAGACAACAAAACCTTTTGAATGAGATTTTAAAAATCCGTCCAAAATTGCTAGTTAAAAAGTCGAAAACTTGAAAAAACCCACCCCGAGCACGAATATTCCGTTATTTTCGTATCGAAATCCAGAACAATAAGACTAACATACCACTAGGCTAATTTGAGATAATATATTTCGTGCTATTAAATAGGTAGTTGGAGATTTAATCCGTATCAAATTGTTACAAATTGGACTGAGGCATGCTTTTTGGTTTATTTAATACTTTGCTATACTTTTGAAATTTTTGAAATTTTGTCAGTTTTTTTAAATTCATCAATTATGTTCTTTTTTCAAAATGCTCCAAAACAAGTCTGAACATTCAGTTCAGGAAATCGCCAAAATAGAGCAGTCTTGTAAGGTTTTAGAAGTGGTTTATTTTTACACCTGGACCTGGTCTAACTAAATTTGATTGTTTTGGTCAAAAAAGTTTTTAAAAGTGCACAAAACATCATTTTTAGCTTGTTTGTTCAAAAACTTGCTTGGGCGCAGAACGTTTTCGACAAAATAGGGTGTTGGTGTCCATATAGATTATGTCTATATGATTTTGTCTATTTTGTCTATAGATAGGAATTATATGTCCATATAGTTCCTATCTTAGAAGTTTCTTGTAATGTGCCTAACTTCTCTAATTGACCTCTGACTTTGTTGGTATGCAGTTTTGTGGAGTTTTCGAAACTTACTGACGCAATGACAACATCCGATGAGTGCTCATTTCAGAGTCCGTTGAGTACTCGCCGGTCGGTAATGATGAGCAGAGTTTTTGTCTAGTTTTTAAATACTTGAACTGAGAATTGTTCGATTCTTCAGCTTTGAGAATAGCCACCAAACTTACCAGTTGCATATCCATGAGGTAGTTTTTGATGTTGACGGAGGCCTGGAAGGGGTTCTCGTGGATCTTGAACGCCATCATCTCCACGCAGTCCAGTGCCAGTCCAGGCTGCACGTAGTCAATGCTCAGAAACACAGTGGCAGCCTGAACAAACAAAACGAGCAAGTAAAAAAGTACCCATGTATAGATTGTTGGCCAAAAACTGGAACTGATTAAAAAGAGCAATCTACCAACTTTGATTAAGTGTTTCATGTTATCTTGAATTTTCAAACAACTTTGAGAGATATGTTTAGTCTTTCAAAAAGGCTTTTAAAAACTATTTCTGATGCAGGTTATTTTCTGTTTTCATTTTTTTTTGGTTTTTCATTTTTATCTATGTCGAAGCGGCTAAGGTTTTCAATTTTGAAAGCTTTAAGTTTTAATTAACCTAAAAAAGGCCAATGAAATGAAATAGAATTCAAAAAGTGACTAGAGTTTGACGGTGTATTTAAGCCAGTGAAAACTGTTATCATTTGCGCTGCAGTTTTCATCATATAATTTTACGCTTGCATAGGTCTCACATAAGCATACAGACTGGTTTTCGTTGACTGATTTGCACGGTAGCTAGTTGATAAATCATAATGCTTACATTAGATACCAAATAAAACGCGACTGCTCGGAGTGCGGTCTGTATTAAGACAACAGCGTATTCATACTCGGTAAGCAGACAAATACTGTCGGTAAGCAGACAAATACCGTATTAGCCAATCAGATTCGAGATGGGAGAGCAAATTAATTATTAATTTCTTCCTAGTATTTGTCTGCTTACTGACTAGTCTGAATACACAGTTGTCTAAATACTACTACGTAACCGACTGTTCGTATCAGAGCGAATTCCTAAATGTTCCAAGTGTCTTTTTACGTCAATAAACACAATTTTTTTTTTAGTAATTAATGAAAAAAATTCGATTTTTTTTCTTCAGTTTTATTACTTAATTTTGTCCTCCACATGCTATGTTGAGTAGAAAACGATACACTTTGTGTCGTACAATAAGGATTTCTACGAGCAAACTGCTTGTCTTTATTGAATTTGGAATAATTGAATTTGCCAGTCCTCCTTTAATATGACAAAAATTAGTAGCCTACAATTATCCCAATTTAAAATATACTACTCAAATTAGTTCTAAATTTAAATCCCAATATACTCCCAAAAATGAATGACCACAGTTGAACTAAATTTTTCACTTAAAGCCTTGATACCAATATAATTCAGAAACCATTTTCATTAAAACAAGCATTTTAAAAAATTAAAATTTATTTTGAAAAGAGAACCCCGTAAGCAAATTTACTATACCAGCTTCTTCGAGAGTCGAAACAACAAGACTGCTTATATCAGGGCAAAACTCTAAAAACTGATGGTGAGGCCTGATGATATTTTTTGTGCAAAATCAAAAAAGACAGTTTTATAAAAAAAAATCAAAAAAAAAATATTTTTTGCAAAACTTCCGCATGAAATGTTATGTATAAATTTTTGTTCCGACTTTCGATACGAAAGTAACGGAATATTTGTACTCGGGGTGGTTTTTTTTTCTTCAGACAAATTTCGACTTTTTAACTAGCCATTTTTGACGGAATTTTTTAAATCATTCGAAAGGCAGTGTTGTTTTGGCCTCAAATTCGAAAAGATTTTTCACCAGTGATCATTTATCGTAAAGTTATGGGGGTTTAAAGATTGCCATTTTTGCCAATTTGGGACAATGAACGCGCGATTTGTTTCACGCTATTAACGAGCAAACGGAGAGTTAATCCGTCTTAGAAATCGTTCCAAATTGGTTGCAAGAAGCTCAGCTGCCACAATTGATTTGTTAGGAGGCGCAAAATCTACCCTTTTGTACTTTATATGGCGCGAGGGGATAATTTTCATAAGCAAAATTCAATTTTTAGAAAGAAAAAATTCATTTTGTTTTATTACACTTAGTTTTTTAATGTAATGACTCTTCCATAAATCTTAAAAGGCAGTCGGAACATTCAGGGCTTCGCCCTGATACGAGCAGTCTTGTTTTATTTTGCATCTGATCAAGCAAAATTTGAACAAAATAGCTCAATTTAATTAAATTTCTATTTATGTATAAGATGAAATAGCTCACCACTTGCGTTCGGAGTTAACAGAAAACTGGATTTTTTTGCACACTTTAATTACTCGAAAGTGGCAATTTTCAAAATCCTATGAGTTGAAAAGATATAATCGCAGTAAATCAATATTTTTTTGATCTTAGAGTATCAATTTGTTTCAGATTTTATGAAAAATTTTCATCAAAATTATTAGTTAAAAACTCGAAATTTGTCTGTAAAACCACAGAGCGCACAAATATTCTATACTTTTTCCATAAATGGGTTAGAAAACCAATTCAAAATTTTCAATGACTATGCGATTGCTAACGCTTAAATTTGCTGGATTTCAAATATAAACAAAAAACTAAGCCTCTTCTCTATAAAAAGTTAAATTAAAACTCTTCATAACAAAATGGATAATGTTTTCATTAAACTAAAAAAAAACGAAAATCAACAAGTTAGCCAAAACTTATCCAAAATGAGTTAGCCAAAATCACCAAGTTAGCCAAAATAATTTGAGCAGATTTTTTTTTCGAGTTCAAATACGTTCTCTTTTGTTTTTGATATCGCATTTTGCTAATTTTCAGAAAGATTCAATACTTTTAGTTTTAGTAGTACCAAATTCAACAATATTTTAGCGTTTTTAGTTCTATGCTTTGAAATCTGAAAGATACATCCATTTAGAAAATCTAACCGAGAAAACCGTTCTTGGAAAACAGTTGTAGGACAGTCGGTGAGACAGCGATCCGTGTACTGTTTCTTAGGTAGAAAATGTTTTTGTTTCTTTTTATCATTTCAAGTTGTGCGCTACAAAATTTTGTTTGTAAGAATCTTAAATCTCTGCAATTGCATTTTTCTTTATTTTACAGTTTTGTATCCATTCAACTTTTAAATTGTCCTCAGAAACCCCCAAGCCATTCATTTTTGCTAAAATAGTGTTTGGTACACAATAAAAAATCAACTTTAGCTGAAAGGCATTAAACTAAGACATGTCTGAGCGTGAACGAGTAAACAGTTTGAATAACTTTTTAATGTGTAAATTGCCGTTTGATAAGTTTTTGCAACATTTCATGTAGTAAATATACAATGGTCTTGGAAAACTTGGAAAAGAGTCCTCTTTTTGACCAGAACTGTGGGTAACTTCACGCGAACTGACCTTTATAGCACGTGACATCTGGTCTTCTGGATTCAGCACCGTAGCGATTGTTCTAGTTTTGTACTTGTTGAGCTTTCCCGTAATAGCCGAGTTCATCTCCGCAATTGATGAGTCATGGAACACACTGAGAGACAGACTGAGACCCCGTTCGATGCTGTAGTGCATCAGAACTGCCACTTTCATCTTTGAAACAAACATAAAATGATTCATACTAGCGTGAACGCAAAAATTCATGATTAGAATAAACCTACTTCTGAAATTTTGTGATTCTATTGCTCAAATTAGTTTTAATATTGTCACATCATAAGTAATGAAACGAAAGATTCTTGCCAGGGGCTGACATAGTGTTTTTTTTTCCAGGTGGGGGGACTCTCTCTTTCCAGGTGGGGAGTTTTCAATTTTTTTTAGTTTGAATAAAGTGACTTTCTGCTCTCCTAAAAACATGAAGTGTTTTGGCTTAAATTTTTCAGTCGCAGGCAAAATTTTAAAAAGAAAAACAGCCCAAAAGGCATTTTTAGGCATTTTTTTAAGGTGAAAAAAAAACCATCTTTCCTTTTCATGTAGTTTCAATCATGTTTCGAAATTTTGGGCTGAACAAGTCAAAAGCCTTAACAATGCAGCTCTTACCCCCAGGGCCACCATCATTCGTGTCAGTATACCAGAACCAAACACCTGTACATACATTAAGAGCAAACCCCCTCCAGGAAAACGGAAGAAAAAAAGGGCAACGAATGAAAAAAAATTTACTGGTTGTTGTCCAAATAGCATTGAGTGCTGCGCTGCGATCAGAATGATGACCTATTGGGTTGCGATAGGACAAAAAAAGATGAAAAAAGTAGCTACGACTCGAACTTTACAGTAACTAGTGTGGTGAAAACTGTTTTGCAAATTTTAGGGCCAAATTTTACCCATATAAAGATCATTTTGGCTCCTTTTAGTCATTCAAAAATAAAGCTAAATCTACTGTGTCAATTGATGAGCAGTGTTTTTCTTATACACCTTCGGCAGCTTCTTATACATTCTAACAAAAATTTAGAAGTTTTAGAAGTCAAAATTTTGAACAACAGGCCAAAAAAAAAACATTTTTCGACACTTTTTGTAAAATTTTGACGGTAAATCGCGTTTTTCCGGCGCGCGCTCCTCCCTTAAAATTAGTATACATTGGTTCCGAAGGCGCCTTTATAAATTTTTGAGGGTCCATCACCAATTATTGATGTCTCAAAAAGGTACAAAGAGGGACCCTTTGGGTCGGAAGGGGGTCAAATAATCCTTGAGAAAGAAGCGTCCGCCCCCCCCCCCCTCAATCAACCCCTTATTAGGTGGCCAAAATTTGCTCTCAGAAATTTTATCATGTGAATTTCAAGAAGCCATTTACAAGTCTTTAACCATTTTGATTTTTTTTAGACGAATCAGATTATCAAACTACTGCGGAATCCACAAATCAATGTAAGTAGCTAATAGAGCCATTTCAGCTAGGAACAACTAAGCATTAAATCAGAATAAAAAGCAGGTGCCGAAATTTCTACGATAAGCTATGGCAGGGGCGGATTTAGGGGAAGGCGGACAACACCCTCCCTCAACGATTCGACCCCCTTCTGACCCGAATAGTCCCCCTTCGTACAATTGTGAGATATCAATAATTGTTGACAGACCCTAAAAAATTTCTGAAGACCATTTCACCACCAATATATACTTATTTAATATATTTAAGGGGGAGTGCATGGCAGAAATTGTAGACAAAACAGAGTTTTCTTAGTGCTCTGGGACAGCTCGGATAATCAATTTGGTCGACCTAGAAAAAAATCGACAAAATTTTCGAATTTTTTTTGAAAATCCGCTCCCCCTCGAGAAAACCTTAGATCCCTCCTGCGCCGTAGTTATTTCAACTTCTACTAGAGTGGTATAACTAAACTGATAATTCTCTGAATTGACATAGTTAATCTTTGGCGTTTGGTTATTTTTTAAACAAAAACCTGCTGTCTTACAAAATAAATTATATCGGTTTTAAATTGAATTTGCAAAAATTTTGAGCGTAGGAACTTTATGTTTGTGACCACGACAGCTATGCAGAACCTTTTTCTGCTAAAAATTAGATTTTTAAGATAAGTTGTTGTGTTTTTGTTCTGTTTTTTATTAGTTCAAAAAAAAAGTTTTTTTCTTGCGCCACTTAACTTCAGTTTGCTATGAGAGCAACTTTTCATGCACTCACAAAATGAATATTTTCCATTTCAAAAAAATTGTAAATTTATCTCCTCGATACGTGTGACTAAGGCTTTGGGGATTTTGCGTATCACATGTGATACACAAGTAAAATCACATGAAAACAAAATGGGTTTACGAAACTTATTTGAATCTCCAAGAACGTTTATAATCTTTTAAATGCTTGTTGATGTTTTTAGGCACTTTTTGGAAAACTTTCCTTAAACAATCGCGTTTTTTTGGCGCGCTGCCCTGTTAAAATTAGTATATATTGGCGCCAAAGGCGCCTTCATAATTTCTTAGGGTCTGTCACCAAATACTGATATCTCAAAATAGTACAAAGGGATCCTTTGGTTCGGAAGGGGGTCAAATCCTTGAGAAAGAAGCGTCCGCCCCCCCCCCTCAATCAACTCTTAATTAGGTGGCCAAGTTTCGCTCTCAGAAATTTTGCTAGAAACAACTAAGCATAAAGCCAGAATTGAAAGCAGGTGCCCAAAAATCTACGATGAGCCAAGGCAGGAGCGGATTTAGGGGAAGGAGGGGAGCGGACGTCCCCCTCTCAGGGATTCGAACCCCTATCGACCCAAAGGGTCCCCCTTCGTACTATTTTGAGACATCAATATTCGGTGAAGGAGCCTAAAAAATTTCTAGGGGCACCTTCGGTGCCAATGTATTCTAATTTTAAGGGGGAGCGCGCGCAAAAAAAACGCAATTTTTTGGTCAAATTTTTCAAAAAGTGCCTAAAAACGCTTTTCGGCCTAATGTTTCTGCGACAAAGTTTCCGCTCCCACTCGAGAAAATCCTAATTCCCTCCTGCGCCATAGTTATCTCAACCTCTACTAGAGTGGTATAACTAAACTGATAGTTGTCTGAAATGACTTTAATTCATCTTTGGCGTTTGGTGATTTTTTAAACAAAAACCTGCTATCTTACAAAACAATTTATATCAATTTTAAATTGAATTTGCAAGCACTTTGAGAGTTAAAGCATTATGTTTGTGACCACGACAGCTATGCAGAAACGTTTTATGCTAAAAACAGGTTTTCATGATAAGTTTGTTGTGTTTTTAATCTGATTTTATTTGGACAATAAAAATTTTTTTATTTTTTTGTTGTGCCATTCAACTTCAGTTTGCCATGAGAGCAGCCTTTCATGCAATCCCAAAATGAATAGGCTCCATTTCAAAAAAGTTGCAAATTTATCTCCTCAACAAGTGTGATTAGGGCTTTGGGGGAATTTGCGTATCACATGTGATACACAATTAAAGTCACGTGAAACAAAATGGTTTTTACGAATTTCATTTGAGTCCGCAAGAACTTCATTATTTATTTAAATGCTTTTTTACGTGAAGTGACATGGTTTATATTCAGCCATTGAGTTTTTTTTCACCATTTTAAATTTAACCAGGAGTCTTCACATTTTCATTTGTCTAAATTTAGTGTTAACGACGAACCAAGAGCTGCATGAAAATACGCAAAAAAAAAACAAGTTGTTCTGACTGTATTCAACTTATTGTTCTGAATTTCGTAACAAAACTAACGGAATATTTGTGCTCGGGGTGGTTTTTTTTCTTCGGAAAAATTTCGAATTTTAAACTAGCCATTTTTGACTGAGTTTTTTTGTACCATTCAAAAGGTATCGTTGTTCTGGTTTAAATTTAAAAAAACCTCTTACCTGGGATTGTTATTGTAAAATTATGATGGTTTAAAGATTGCCCTTTTTGCCAATTTGGGACAATAAACGCGCGATATATTCGCGCTATTAACGCGTAAGCTGAGATTTGTTCCGTCTTATAAATCGCTGCAAATTGGTTGAAGGAAGCTTATTTGCTATAATTGATTTGTTACATTTATTTTTTTCATGTTATTACTGCTCCATGGACCTAAAAGGCAGTCGGAACATTCAGGGCTTCGCTCTGATACGAGCAGTCTTGTTCTCATTTACTCCTGCGGATTTATTTGATATGCTTTTGCTGTATAGACCAAGTAAAGATCCTGTACTAAAATATTGTTTTGATTTTCGTAACGGATCATTTGGGATCATTTTTTGTAGAGTTATGAGCGTTTAAACATTGCCTTTTTGGCTAATTTGGGACAATAAACGCGGTATTAACGCGTAAGCGGAGATTTTATCCGTCTGAGAAATCGTTGCAAATGTGTTGAAGCAAGCTGAATTTGCCATAATTGATTTGTTACTAGGACCGAAAATATCACTTCGTATTTTATATGGCGTGTTGGGGGATAATTTTCACAAAACATCTCAAATAAAAAAAAAATTTCATATCTTTTTCATTACATTTAATTTTTTCATGTTATTACTGCTCCATAGACCTTAAATGGCAGTCGGAACATTCAAGGCTTCGCCCTGATACGAGCAGTTGTTCTCATTTACTCGTGCGGATTTAATTGATCACTATTAATTGATTACTATATAGACCTAGTAAAGATCCTGAGCTAAATTATTGTTCCTACTGTAGACAAAATTCGACTTTTTAACTAGCCATTTCTGACTGAACTTTTTTACATCCTTCAAAAGGTATTGATGTGCTGAGCTTAAGTTTTTTGATAATAATTACCGAAAAAATAAACGTTTTAAACTTTCAAAAAATGATCAAAAATTCAAAATTTTTTGCAACAAATTTTCTGTTTTATTTCTTAGGGTTAAGTTAAGAGTTAATGAGGTCACAATTTTTGTTAAAAATGAACTAAAACTAGAAACATTTTTTAATCAAATTACTCAAAACAATGCTAGTAAGGCGCGCTAAACTGAGAGCCCAGCTTTCTTTGAAAACGTTTGGAAATTGTCTGAAAAACTAAAATCTCAGATCAATAATTTCAATTTCCAAAAACTTTAGAATTTGTTGAATTGAAAGCACGTTTAATAAGGCTTCAGCTTGATCCCACATTTTTTTGCATATACTTGCGCAAATTTGAGCGAAAACGCTGCCTATGCCAAGGTACTTTTCCTACTCTACAAGAGTTTTACAATCAATGAATCTTTGAATGAAACTAGATTATGCTTGGCGTGTTTGGTGAACTTTCTAATGAATGAAAACGGTCTTCTTTTTTCAAATTGAATTTATTCTAAGCTTTAAAGCATAATAGTCAGAGAAGAATTTTTTATCCAAGCAGGACTATTAAAATTACGTTTGAATCATCTTTGCTGTGAGATACAATCACCCCAAAATTTCATATTTCCGCTCTTTCAATAAAGGAACAAACATAATGTAATGCTTTTATCTTATTCATGAAACAGTAAATTCTTTGAAAAATTTGCAATTTTAATTTACTTTTAAAGTAATTTTCTTAAATCAATTTTGATATTAGCTGTTTAAAAAATAAAAAAATCATCGCAGAAAACAAGCTAATTTTTCTTAAAATGTCACAACAAAGGAAAAAGTCAAAATTTCTCTAGAATGATTGTAATTGCAGCAAGTCTTTCTAAAATTATTATAGTCAAAACAATTACGCTAACATGTTCAAAAACAACCATTGATCATTTTTAGTTGTATACCCCTTAGAGAAAAAATGTGAAAAAATTATTTTTGTAACGTAAGGCTTTTTAAACTACGCGATATTTTAAATCCTTGTTTGAGTTCGAATTTGATTTGTTTTGATACTTAAATGCCTGGCCACATGTGCCAGCCCACATTCAATTTTAAGCGTTAATAATCGACTCTACTATGATTTTAATGCCAGTCTTACAAAAATTGAGAAAAAAACGAGTTTCATCAACTTCTAATCGAATATAATCTCTCTTTTTTGAAATCAATTGAAAATCAGTTATAATATGTTTTAATCCATTTTAATCTATTATTATTTCCATCTATTTTTCCATAGAAACATAACCGATGATAATCGATTGTAGTTGATTAATTTTATCCCTATTTTTAATTCAATTGTTCAGCACAAAAAACCATTATTATCGATTAGAAATGATTTCAATAGTTTTTAGTATGAACTATGATCAATAATAATCGATTATACAGGGTATAATCTCTAGGAAAAAAAAACACGATTATTATCTGTTATGACTCTTTTAAACACCTAATTTTGGTAATTATTTTCAATTATATTTGTCAAAAAATTTATAGAACAGTCCGTTACGAAGCCTAAACTTGAATTTGAAAGCCGTTTTTCTAGTTTTACAGCAACAAAAAATTTCGTTCTTTTTTCTATTATGAAAACACACCTGTACCGTTATGAGTTGATAACGTAAAATAATGCATTGTGAAACGTTTGGTATCTTAAGTAAAGACAATAAAATCAACTTTGGAAGCTCCGACTGGATTTCGAGTTTTGGATTGAAATACAATTGATAAATCATCTAATTTTCAGAGACGTAGGTTTCTTACTTTTTATTTTCTTGAAAAAATTTTAAGACAACTTGTAATACAATCAAAGTCTTTGTCACAATTTGAATTTCTTAATATTGTTTTAGCTAACAGGATACATGGGATTTTGATTTTACTTCGAAAAATGAGATCGACTTGGTTAGATTTCTGGATCAAAACAAACGCGAACGAAATCACGAAAACCCAACAATTATTTTCGACAGTTTATTTTTCAAACCGTAACTTGAAATTGTAATTGTAAAAACGGTTTTTGAAACCACCATATACATCATAATAAAATTTGTATGTGGTGGTATATGGGGAGACAAACTTGAAGATAAACCGTACAAAGGTTCCTTAAATGACCTACCGTAGAATCCCCTTCCCAAGCATGTAATAATTCTGAAAAATAATTATGTATGAAACATGCATTACTTACAAACGCTCAAATAAAATTGACCTTAATATTTTGAATGCGAGATTGCATCTGCATGCTATTAATTACCTATATTCATGCTTTAAGGCAATTTTCTTTGTTAATACGGTTAATTTTGAAAGACTGCCGAAGTTAACTCCTGAAAATTTATACTTTCTCTCCCCTAAATCGATATTTTTTTTGGGGGGGGGGGCTGTTACGGATGATCCAAAATGTCAGGTTTTTCAACTAAATGCACTGAGAAAAAAATGAGATATGTTTCTGATGCCCAGTGCTTTATTTACATTAGGTAGCTTGTACTAATTCAAACTCCAATAATTTCTCATCAGCTTCTGTCTGTTGTATATACTACGCGATGATTAAAAAGTTAAGCGAACTGGTAACTTTTGAACCTTCACATTTTTGTACAAACATTTCACTGTGAAGTGGAACAACAAAAGTAAAATGAATGCATCCATAATAGTTAGTTAGAAAATTAAATTTTGTTTGAAGAAAGACCTCCCAGGCTTAATTAGTTTGTGATTTTCTTCGAAAAACGGAAAAATGGACTAAAAAGGAAACAGAAATTTATTAAATTGATTACATTTTTCGTATAATTGATTATCCTTTCTGAGAGCAGAGGCACCTTAAATTGGTTTTTCAATCGATTTTTTTTTATATGCAATGCACTCTTGAAATTAGATGTAATGGATAAATCAATGAGATATGTAAAACTTTATCAAGATATTTGGTTCAATTCGACCATTGGTTAGCTACCAGAAACAATCATCGGAGAGTGTTGAGTGATATATCATATTACAGTCGTGGTTTGAACGGCATTAAACTTTTTTTTAAAAATTCCCAGTATCGAGAAAAACCGGTTTGAAATTTATGCTTTTTCGTTTTATTCGACCGAATGAAACGAGCGATTAGAGATTATTTTAATGACTTAAAAGCTAACAACAGCTTAATTTAAAACGCAAACACTAAGTTTTAGTAGATTGAAGTTTGTTTTTTTTTTAAAGTTTTTTAGCGACTTTTTGGAATCAAACTCTTCCAAAGTTCAAAATACAACAAAAAAAAACGAAATTTTTTTTTTCAATTTGCTAAATTTACTATGAATGTCGAATATCCCTAATCTCTAGATTTTCGTTCAACTCTTTTTATTACACAACGCCTCAGGGATTTGACCCCCTGCCGACCCAGAGGGTCCCCCCTTTGGTACTTTTTAAGACACCCATTTTTGGCCAACCGGCCTTAAATTTTTCTGAAGCCGCTTTTGGCGCCAATGTATACTAATTTTGAGGCGCCAAAAAACGCAATTTTTCGGTCAAAATTTTCCATAAAGTGCCTAAAAACGCCTTTTTTGGCCTGTTTTTTCAAAAGTTTGTCTGCTGCGCAGAAAATTTGGCCAAAACAGCGTCTTTTTAGTGCTTTACGAGAGCTCGGAAAATCAATTTGGTCGACCTAAAAAAAAGTTTGTCAAAATTTTTGAAAGTTTTTTGAAAATCCGTCCCCTCCCCCTCGAGAAAATCCTAGATCCACCCTTGCGTATGCTAAATGAACTTGCGTGGAAAAATCCAGCGACTTAAAAAGCCTCCGCACAATTTTTACAGAACAAAACCTGACGCTAAAAAGAGAGCATAAAAGTTCAGAAAAAGATGTCGGATGTAGTTTTTTCACTTACCTGGTTGTGCAGTATCAACTGCGCTTGTTCAGATGATGTGATATAGTTCTGGAGAGAATCGAGAGCCAGAAAACAAGATAATCCTTCCATGGCCCACAAATCATCCCACCAGTTGATTGAGAACGTGTTCAACGTAAGCTAAATTAAGCAAAAATATCATTTGAAAAATTATCAGAAACAAATTTAGAACAAAAATGAAGAAAAAAGTGTTTAATTTTATTTAAAAAGACTAAATGCGAACTAAAAGCGTTTATTGGAATGAGCAACTGACAGCAATGGTTCACCATTTCAACCAATAAATTGGCCAAGTTCCACGATTTTTTTCTCGCTCATCATTTGACAGGCCGGGAGGTTTGTTAAAAATTCAGGCTGTCAAGTAAATTTGCAATATAGGTTAAAATTATTTAATTTAATTTATTGAAATTGGTTAATCCTGCAATGGTTTAAGAAATGAAAAAGTTATGCATAGTTTTCTGTTTTCGAGTTTGGTTTTGAAGTGAGTTTGCCTCTTTGATTATGTAAGAAATGTGTAAATCAATCACATTACTACAAAATAGTAGTTAGAGTATGTTGACAGCTCAAATTCTTTTAATGGTCAGATCTAGCCTCCTTCTGTACCTGTGACACGAGGGACCGGGCAATAGTGAATTCCAGATGCGGCGTCATCTGGGGAATAATGACCAGTCCCAGAGATATGAGGCCCTTTTCAGGAGCACAGCTGCTGTACACGAAGTCTAAAACACAGCTTGAATTCAGTTTGGATATAGTATGTTCAGGACCATTTATCAACGAAAGTTAAGACAATTTATCCACAAGAGAAGGGCCATTATTCGAGCTGTTTTGCTCTTTACGGAGAACCGCTGTTGCTCCACTGCTTAAAAATTATATGCAACTTTTTTGGCTGTCCTTCCGGGCTGGGTAATGGTGCCTCGCACTCAATCAACGAGCACGGACCATGGTGGGCCTCGAATATCCGACCTCTCGATTATAGACAGAGGTGTAGGCCAATTCACCGCCGCTACTTTTTTCTCTTTTTTACGATATAAAGGAGCAACGTACAAGCTGTTTGTCTCTTCGGAAGGATAAGCGGTCTTTTATTACTGGTTATAAGATCTGCATGCGATTTTTTTGGTTTAGTAGTGGTAGTTCGTTCAGCCTCAAGCAACGTGAACGAATCATCATGCACGGATCAAAGACTTTAGAGGAATGTAAATAAAGATATTTTACAGGTGAAACCAACAGAGATGGTCAAATCATTTTACAATTACATTATTTTTTCACTTTAGAATGATTTATTTTTCCCTGTTCATCAACATCCGCCTGAATTCATATTTTGTTCAAAGTCCAGTAGAATCCAATGAACAAGTTTACCTAATTTGGAGTGTAGAAAAGGCACTTTGATGTTGGATTTGGAGACTAAATATTCTACAGTTGAAGTTGAGATGTCTAGGATGGTGTCTGCCACATAGGAGAGCGACTCCAAGTCTTCCCTGTAGTGTCTGTACTCTCTAACTTGGTCTGAAGATTCATTCAGCGCAATAATCTGCAAATATAACGGCTTACTCATTTTCATTTGAAACTTGCATTTGATAAACAGCAATAATTTTGTCTCGGCAATTTTTAATTGCTACAACTGCGATTCAACAAAATATCTACTCAATCCTAGTCACTCGAAAAAAACCGTTCTCATCAAGCGATATCATTTTAAAATTTGAATTAGGTTTGCTAACTGAGTATACTAATCAGTAGCGGATTTAGGGGGGAAGGGCGGGCGCTTCCCCCACCCCCCCCTTTGATCCCCTACCGACCCATTTTCAGATATCTCCGCCTCTCGAGAAGGCGGAGATATCTGAAAATGGGTTTGAAACTCCGCCTCTCGAGAAATTTCAAGATCCGCGCCTGATACTAATAAAGCTCAAAATTATCAATCAAATAAAAGCTCAAAATTACCATTCCTGGGTAGTTTATCTAAGATGAACAAATTACCTGTTGGTCTATATTTGTTCTTTCGAGGGATAATGGATCCCCCTGCAATACATATTTCTTGGAAGAATCCTGGGGGAATAAGGCCAGAGAGTAGAGATAAGCAGGTGCCTGAGGCGCCACTACAAAACTCCACAACTTTTTGCGCTCGTTTAGGTCCAGGACATAGCTCTGTTTCACTGGCATATTGGACACTGCGCCGAACTGTCGGTCGCACACGACGTGAAGAGAAAGGGAAGCTCGGAATGCTGGCTCGTCAAAGCAAGGGAAAACGTTGCGCGCGAAAGTGGGGAAGTTGTTCATGATGATCATCGGCCTAAAATAGCCCAATATTTTAATTGCTCTAAGGTGGGCCAATGGAGCACTGGGATTCTTATAACTTTCGTAGTAAGATGCGTAGTGAAGACATACAGGCCATACTATTTTTTTCGAATTTTTTTTAGAAAAGAGTCTTAAAAATTGATCAAAGTTTAACTTCTGAGCTCATTTTAGTTTCAATTCAAATTCAATTGCTGAAAGGAAGAAAACTTACGCTCTCAAATAACAAAGTTCAAAAAACATAAATGACTTTAAGTTTCAGAAAATTCTAAGAGGAAAGAAAAAAACCACATACCGATCCAGTTTTCTCTAATGGGCTTGGTTTTTGTCAAAGAAGGTTCAATTTTAAAATATTGGAAATCAAAAACCTCTAAAGACTAAGGTGATTTTCAACTTTTTCTTTAAAACTCGAAAAAGGAATTCTTCAAAAAAATTAATAAATTTTTTTCGCTCTACATGAAGCTCATTGACACTTTTCCAACTAGCTGTTGCCTGTGTTATTCATTGTGGTTACCTATGATTAATCAAAGATCTATAGCATTACAGAGCTAATGTTTGATTGAGATTTTGAAAACTTTTTTGCCTTCTGCTTCTTATTATAATTATTTCCTTGATTACTTATGTTAACTTATTTGTATAATAAAAGTATACAAAGCCAACTTTTACCTTTTAATATTGTCTCCGTCATCGAACCAGCTAAGGTACAGACCCTCTTTAGATTTGGAATTCAACTGACTCTCGAATTCGAAGTTGATGGCATATCTCTCATTGACAGTCAAATGGGACTCCATGATGACCACCAGCAGCTCCTCCGAGGGCTCTCCTCTCACCCTGCTGCAGGAGACTATGGCAAGAGGCAGGTTGAGGGCTGCCACTACCCGGATGAAGGAGGGGTCTGCTCGGAATGTCAGCTGGAACACCAAGAAAATACACAAATCAAAACATTTTCTAGTATAAAGCCCATTACTTTTGTTACAAGTAAACTTTCTTTTGCAGCATGTTAAGTAAGCCAAGGGTGGGTTGAATTTACATGTTTGAATGGAATGAGAAGACGAAGAAGCAGAAGAATAAATTCATTAAAAAGTGCATATCAATCAATTAATGTTCTCTACCTATCAAAGAACCATTGGAAAGAGTAGGTAACAAACTCAGCTGATCTTCCTAACAAAAAGACCTTGAAACTCAGTGAATTTTTGTGAACTACAAAAATGGAAAAAAGTATTTTTAAACACATATTAGCCCTTTTTCAACGACCATCATGACTCGGTTCAGTTGTTAGAGTGACGTCATATGGGTTAAAATAACGACAAAAATCCTCTGTTTAGGTCAACAATAACGGAATACTTTTGCCTTGTTTTCTGATGAAGCACTATTCTTGGTAGAATTGGAGACATATTTGTAAGCCATTAATGTCACAGGTTCAGATATGCTTTTTTCGGCAGGCTCCTCAAAATCAGTTTATATGTGGAACATTAAGTTATTTCTAAGACTGGTCGGTCAAAAATAGATGTGAAACAGCGCTAAGACTCTTTTTTTGGCAATGACTTCGAATTCTGCTTCAATGATCCTAATTTATTTTTGCTCGTAGGGATGGGAGATAACTATGGCGTAGGGCCTGTTTTTTTGTCCGATTTTGACTACCTCAAACAATGCTCGTTATGACGTCAAAGTCTTTTCAGCTTTGATTGTCTTTTTCTCGAGAAAAATTGGTCTACATTTTTTTCAGAATAAATTACGAGAAGGCTGACAGAAAAATTTTTCTAGTACAGTTTTATTCCTAAATTAGCTACCAATTAGACATTCGTCTTTTTACCGTATTCAATCGCCTTTTTAGAAAAACATAACATAACTTTTGACTTTTTTCATATTTTTTAAAAAATTTGTTGCAATTTTTTTCAAGCAGTGTAGTAGGACCATTCCGTACCGTAACCCGATGAACAGTAACTGGATTTTTTTCTCTTTGCAAAATTTAGCTTTGAAAATAATAAACATCGCGACCTCGAACGGGGCAAGAAATGTTAGAGAGAGTTCAACCATATTTGCTAACTATGTTTAGATCAGACCAGCTTTGTTAGTAAATAAATTATCATCAGCTCTTTTCAATACTTCTATATATGACCAGGAAGGTCAAACTTTGTATCTCTTCAGAAACAAAAACGATTCTATCAAAATTTCTGCGGCTCGTTGAAATTTACTGAAAATGAATTTGAAAACTTATTCGATACAAATGATTTTTGTATGTCATGTGGTAACAAATTCAGTTTCAATTCCGATTGAGACTAAGAACAGCAACAACACTTTGAATTTTTCCCCTATATCAGCAATTATCAAGGGCCATAAAAGTCCAATGAGGCCATTCTATGTGCAAGTTTACAATTTTCGTGACTTTTCTACTCATGAGACATGTGGAGGTGCACTTATCAGACCAGACTGGGTTTTAACTATAGCTGAATGCATCTGCGGCACGAAAAGTAAGTGTTCGAAATCCTAATTGTTTCTGTTACTCAGGACTATGTAGGTTCTCGACATAAGCTTCAATTTAGATGGTCGAGAAAAAGCAGTTTTGCGACAGGAAAGTAAAATATTTGCCAATTCATTCGAGAAAGTTGAAACAACCGATTTTGGTCGAAAACATCAAACAATGATGATCAAATAATGATAAGTAGAGAAAGTAGAAAAAATTTTTTGACAAGTGAAATTTGCAAAGAAGTCCAGCACTGTCGAAACATGGGTTGAGTACTGCATAGTGCTTAAGTTTTTTCTTAAAAAGTGTAACTAATTTTTATATTCAAAATGTTGCAAAAATCATCTACTCAAAAGAATCCTTTGACAGAAGTTTATAATTAGTATTATTTAATTGACGAGAGTTTACTACCACAATTTAAAAGTTTCAGAAGGTAGCCTCCAAATTTCTCTAAATAGTTCCGCCGTAAGACTAAATAAACTTTCCTCAAAATGAAATTAATAACTTCAAGTATCAGTCTTAGGATCATTTAAGATCGAATTTAGAGAGTAATTGTTTAAACAAACATTGAAAAATTTAAAACTCAACTTTTTTATGTCAAATGTTACCAAGAAACATCAACTCAAAAAATCAATGATAATTTTATTTTTATTTTTATGTGCTTTAATTGATAGCGGAAAGTTGAATTATACATCGAGAAAAATGAAAGATAATGTCGAAAAATTAAGAAATGAGATTTTGTCAAGAAAGTTATAAATCATAGCAAAAAACTTAAGCTAAAAGTTTGAACAGGTTTTTGACTGTCTGATTTTCAGCTAGTAGTACGTGAACGCAGAATAAGCTTGCAAAAAAGCTTGTAAATTTGTGTTTTAGGTATTTTTAGAACTTGTGAAAAAATTCTAAACCAAATAAAGTAAAAGTTTTTGACCCGAAGAGCCCCTAGAAAATTGTAATAATTAATATGTTTTCCTATATAAAAAATTTTCACATAAACACACTTTTAATCAAGTCAAAAATCCAAGATGGGATCGGGTCGATCACTAAATGGAATTGTTTGCCAAGAAAGTCTTTCTATTACAATTTTATTGTTAAATTAGCTACCAATTAGATATCTGTTTTTTTTTCTACCGTATTTCTAAAAAAATTTTGGTCAAGAAATTTGATATGCATTTGAGCTGAATCGCGCAAATATAAGTTTTTTTGATCGACAATCTTGATACAGTCGAAATATACCTAAGTTTGCAAGAAGAAGTCGAGAAATATCTGAACTGGGTCGAAAGAAGTAGAACAAATTTCTCTTGGTTTGAGAAAGTCGAAACAAATCAAAACATTATCAAGAAAGTCAAAACATACCGATTTACGGCCGAGAAATGCAAAACTTAAGTCGAGAGCCTCAAGCCAGAAAAGATACTGCTTGAAGTTTTTTTTATAAAGTTAAAGTAAAAATTTATAACTATTTTTTTCAAATTTCACAAAACCTGACACAATTGGCGGTCAGAAATTTTTCGTGTGGGCTCTCGGATGACTTCAGAGATCAATTCAGTTGTTTTCTCGGAACATTAGAGCAAAAATTTTTTAGTTAGAATTGTAAGAAACTTTGAACATATATTACTGTGTGATTATTTTTCAAAGTTTTTTTCTTTCTAATTGTGTCCTAATAAGCTACATTTTTTGGTACTGTGAATTTTATAACTGATCATATTTTGAACTAAAAAATTAATCAATTATTAAGCTCACAATATCAAAAAGTGTAGCTAATTAGGACGCAAAAAAAAGTTAAGAAAAATATTTTCGATTTGTAAAATGCAGTGCAGATTATCAGATTTACAAAATTATCGAGTTTACAAAATAAGATAATTCGAAGTTTCGAAAAATTTCGGAGCTTTTTTGTTGACAATGACTGGAAGATTTTGTGCTACTTGCACAGTCGCAATTTGTTACTTTTTCACCAAACAAAGAGTCGACCATTTGGTATAATTTCACGACCTTTATTTTCGGTGCCAATCCTGAATGTTTTTTAATTGCGCCTTTGGTGCCAATATATTCTAATTTTGAAGGGGAGCGCGCCGAAAAAACGCAATTTGACCTGTTTTTTTTCAAAAGATTGCCTGCACCGCAGAAAGTTTCATCAAAAAAAGGCTTTACACTGGATCGGCAGCACTCGGGAAGTCAATTTGGTCAACCTAAAAAAAGTTCGAATACATTTTCGCCCTCAAAGAAAATCTTAGATCCCTCGCTGGTAGGGTTAATTATTTTGGAATTTTTTTGCTGAAAATTTAATTGGTTTTCGTGCAAATGAGCAGCATTTTGCAAAAAAAAACAGTCCTTAAGTTGTTTAGCTGGAGAAAAATTAGCTGGTTTTTGAAGATTTTGTGACAGAGAATACGCCAAAAAGTTTTTAACTGACCTTTTCAATTGACCAATGGATTCAATGGTCGCATACTTTAGTGGTTTATTGGAAGCAATGGGTGGATAACTCGTAAAAATTGTATTTAGCTATTTTTCCTTGCTGATATTTCTACTGCAATTACTCGTGAGAGTCTGTAGAATTGTGTATTTTCAGTCACAAGAGTCGGAGTGCAAATTGGAGATTTCACAGATAGATTGAAACCAAAAGCCATTCAACCAGTGACAGAGAGAATCTGCTTCAGGTAAGACCCTAACATGATTTATAACAACCCATTTTGACTTCAAACTGATCGGACTTGTTTTTCTTCGAATATTCATTATGATTATGACAAGTTTTAAGACACTTGTTTTTTAACAGCAACTGGGTTTCCTAAGAATTTGCATTGAGTCCATTATTCGATGGACTGGAAATCCCCCTCATCCCTCCCCCTCATCCCTCCCTCCCCAGGTGAACAAAATCATAAGACATCTTCCATTTTCTACATCTAGCGACAATCCATTTGCGTCGGCGGTCGGTCTACTCAGACTAGCCGAGCCAGTATCCGTTTCTGAAGACATGTACTTCCTCGACGTCTGTCGCTGGCATGCCAAAGAGAACGAACTGCTCGGAACTTGTGGCATGGGAACTGTGTCCCGCGACCACAATATGGAGCCTGTCACTTTAAGGCAATAAGCAGGCCACTTTTCCAAAACCCGAAAATGCTGGTTCTAATTTAAAAAAAATTATTTTTGTGTTTTGCATGAATCTTTCAGGAAAAAATTAGCGTTGAAATAATTTTATTAAGACCATTTTTAATTACGATTCATCTCAATAGAAGGCGCTTTTAAATACAATCAAAGACCCCATTAGATAGCTCCAATTAACTTAAGATACAACCATGGGTGTTCAGACAATTCGGTCACAGACAATTCAGCCAATTTCAAATTCAGACAATTCAGTCAAAATTAGTGAGACAATTCGGCCAAAGAAAATTCAGACAGTTTTAAAGTTTTAAACGTGCGCGCAAAAATTTTTCACATGCGGCAAAACATCAAAGCTTTCACTAAAGGACTTATAATTAATTCCTTTCAAATGCACATAAAACAAATATAATTAACAGAAACAAAAGTACCTAAACATAATAAAATTTTATGCAATTCCTTATGTTTCCAATTTTAGAATAGTACCTCAGCAAAATCGAACTCAACAAAAAACTGCACAATACTTAAAAGTTAACCAATTTACGCAAAAGTGGAACCGAGATTGGCAGTTTTACAGGCGGTCAAAAAGGATTTCAGTTAAAGGGTTGACCACCCCTGCCACGTACTGGCGAGACAGTTACGCTGATTTTCTTATCATACCTTAGGCGGGGTGCAACCGCCTTTTAGGTAATTTGTTTAGATGGTGGAAACTAATTAGAAACTTAAACTTCTTTAAAAGATAAACTAATTGCGATTAAAGTATTGTCCAACCAGAAACCAGTACCGCGTTTAACGCCTATTTTTTGCAGTTAGATTTTCCATCTACACAATTAACATTGATTAATCTTCATTAGCAACTAGCATGAACAACTGACTGATTAGTATCTGAATCATTCTAAATCTTTCACTTTTAGCAAAAGTTGTCGTAAAAATGGAATTCGTAACATCTGAACGCTGAAAAAAGCATCATTGTCTTGATGGTTATAGATACCGTGAAAAAAACCAACCTAAGAACGGTCTCATTAAATGACAATGTACATTTGAAAATTGCAGAGCAATTTGGAAATTGAGTTATTTGGACGAACAGCAAGAATTCACCATAAAAACCGAGCATGCTCATTTACCGAGCCCCTCAAATTGCGCCTATACGCGCAAGTACATGGAAGATGATGAGTTTCGGCTGAATGTCAAAAAACTGATTTGCTTGGCATTCGTTCCCGATTAATTTCACTTTTGAGGCTCTCCGAAAAGAGGATCTCTCAGGGGAATTTCAGAGTCTATCGGACTATTTTGAAGACACCTATATTGGTGCCTGTCGAGGGAATAGACGCATCAAACCAAAATTTGACATTGCCGATTGGAACGTTTTCAATCGGGTGTTCAGCGGTGAACCTCGTACGAACAATGCATTGGAGGCATGGAATGGCAGCTTCAATAAATTCGTGTCGACAAAGCACCCCGCCCTCCCCAAGCTGATCACACGTCTCAAAGATGAGCAAAAAATGCCGAAATAAAGTAGAGAGACTGATGTCCGGTGATGTTATTAGAAAACCGAGGCCAAAGTATTCACTCGCCAATGAGAAACTTGTTCAAAACGCAAACAACTACAATCGAGACCATATACAGAAGTATTTAAAACTTTGTACCTTCAATGTTTATATATCTTAAAATTTTATGCATAGCAAGTTTGTTTTGATCTTTGAAATTTGTTATTTGACGTTTCAAATTTCTTTGTCAAAGTGTTGAAAGCCTTCGGACTCTAATCAAATTAGAAAAGTTTTAAAATTTTCTTTTATCTAGTCTCTTTAACCTAAATAAGCTGAATTGCCTTTGGCTGAATTGTCTGAATTTTTTTGGCTGAATTGTCTGTATTTTAAATCGGCTGAATTGTCTGTGGCTGAATTGTCTCTGCGCCACAACCATGACAACAAGTTTCTACGATCTTCTAAAAAATCAAACTCCTGATGTTATATTTTCCAATTGACTTGTATCGTTTTAGATGATAATGACAGGTAAAATTTTACATAATTTTTTTATCGTACGGAGAGGGCTATAAACATGCGTAAGCAATCAAGAATAGTAACTATTCAATTCAGACGATGAGGGGCGGGGTAGAAGGAAAAGTGGCTGATAGAGAACTATACATGTTGGAGGAGAAAGGAGGCTTTTTTTTAAACTACTGCCCGGTGGATGAGATATGTACCAGCAGCATCTCAACTGACAGGTAGGCATAGTCCTTCATGCTAAAAATATTAATGGGTCAATTATATTTATAACTTAAGTTTATATTAATAACTTATATTTATAATATAACTTAATATAACTTTAATTATATTTATTTTAAACTTGATTTCTCGTAGAATTTCTGACTAGCTTTCATTTTTGCAATTTGAAAAATTATTAAAAAAACTCAATACCCTCCCCTACCGAAATTCGTACCTTAGTTCAGGAGCGGATCTAGGATTTTCTCGAGTGTGGGGGGGGGGGGCGTATTTTCAAAAAATTGTCGAAAATTTCGTGGACCTTTTTTTGGTCGATCAAATTAATTTCCCGAGCTCTCCCAAAGCCCCAAAGCACTAAAAAGACTTTGTTTTGGCCAAATTTTTTGCGCGGCAGGCAAAATTTTGACCAAAGGTGCCTTTAGAAAAGTTGTAGGGTCCGTCAGGCAAAACGGATATCTCAAAATAGTACAAAGGTGGACCCTTTGGGTCGGCAATTGGTCGAATTTCTGATGGCTGATGGGGGAGCGTCCCCCCTCCTAAATCCGCGCCTGCACTAGTTGTATTTCTAATCTGATGTTCTTAAAGTCATATCTTGTGGCTATAATTTAAAAAAAATTAATTTCTGTAAATAATGTTTTTCAGCTTTGAATAGAAAAGTAATAAAAAATTTGAACTGAAACTGAAATTTCGTAATGCTTCTTGTTAAAAAAAAAATGCCGAATTCCTGTTAAAAAATACCAAAAATGAAAAATTTGGCCAATTTTACTGCGAGAATGGTTTGGTATGCTGATTCTGCTTTGTGTGTGTGTGTGTGGGTGTGTGTGTGTGTGTGTGTGTGTGAGGGGGGGGGGGGGGGAGGTTGTTAGGTTAAGATAAATGCTGCGCAAAACTTTAAAACAAATCTTCTCCTGCATATAGCTCTCCTACGTTCCCCTACCTCTCAAAATAAATAGATCAAAAAAAGTCAATTTTTAAGAACTTAATGTCTCATACAATTTCTTGCTCTCATTTTTTGCAATTGAAAAGAAGCGGGAAATTTGTTGAAAGTTATAGGCCATAATCACCTATTACAGGCAAATGAGGATAAACTCAAAACCCAAAAATCCCTACATTTCTGTGTTTTCAGCAGTTTATGTCGGGGGGATTTCGGAGGCCCTTTGTACCGTTTTTTCGAGAGGACCACCCGTCCCATGTGTGTATATGGAGTGTCCAGCTACACCGGAAATGAACCAGACGAGCAAGAAGACTGTATAGGCACCCACTATTTTGCAAACGTGCCTTTTTTCTACGACTGGATTGTCACAACTATCCACTCTCACTCAAACTGACGTGTATTTTTGATACAGCAACCGCTAAAGTTTAATTTTGAAGAGCCAACAGCAATAATTTTTTCTTGGTCAAACTCTTTCCCGTGAAAGTTCCCGTATGAGGAATAACATTGATGTTTTTCAAAACTAGTCGAGCATCAGGTTTGCCCGTGAAAATATCGTGATTATGTTGACCCCTCGTTTCAATAAAGTTTTCTCCATCCGTAATTGCTGTTGCGCGGCATATATGGGTTTGGTACTTTGAGCAGTTCCAATTTGTTGTTGTCTTGTTTTTTCGTTTAAGGTAATACTCGTGGCCTGATACCACTAGCATTTGTTTGTCTTTCGAAGATAAAGTAAAATGGAATGACGCTTCAAACATTATATCTGATCTGATAGAGTGGTATAACAATGGTTAAAGAAATAGGCAGTATGATTTTTTTAAAAACTCACAAACGTCTTTTGTTGCCTTCAATTAGCACCATGTAGGTTATCTGTGTTTTAAACGCGTGAGTGAGGGATTATTTCTCTAACTAATCGAAATGCAATTATTTTTGAGATGCTAGAGGCATCAAGTGAATTAAGACTAGCTTTTCAGGCCTCAATTAGTAAGCTTAATTGGACTTCTCCTGTACTTATAAAAAGGACTTAATTTGAAACAAATTATCGTCATTAAAAGGGGGTTAAATTGTTGTGGGGTTATCATGTTACGGGGTTATGATATAGGGGGTGTAAATAGAGGGGTTTAAATATCGTAGGGTTAAAGAGTGGGACACCACAAAATATCATGAAAAAGCATTTTTCTTGCAAAATTTTCCACTTTTGCTTCTGTTTGAAGCGTTACTGAGTCAGGTGTTATTTATAAATTAATCAAATCTCTCTAATCTTGTATAGAAATTGGCAAAAAAGTTGACTTGGGTGTTTCCGTGTGTGTATTTTGACAGCTGAAAGTTCAGGATAAAAATCAAATCTGGCACTGTTAGTCCCTGCTTTTTTCTAAAAGCGACACCAAAAAATCAATATGCATTCCACCACCACCCCCCTCCTGTTTTTTTTTTATAATTTCAACTTTTTTTCAATTTTCAGAGGTGGCACCCGGGTCGAGATTTGTGCCTTAAGTCGCGACCGTTCCCGGGTTGACTTTACCGAGATAATTATTGCTGCTGCAGACCCTGATTAGCGGCCACTTATCCATGATCAGAACTGAAACATAGACAAACTTGGGAATATAGGGCTGAGTTATCTCTGAACCAGCGCTGAAAGTTCCAGCTCTGGATTAGCGCTGATTAATGGCTGAAGCAGTGATGAAACAGAGACATAGCAATTATTTATCTCTAAATCAGCGTTGATTTTCGGAATAGCCATTGTCACTATGAGTTATCTATGATTCAGCGCTGCAATTTAAATGAAATAAGCATAGTTGTTTCAGTCTCTGATCAATGGCCTCTTATCTGTGACCAGTAGATCTGCAGCACTGATTCATCATGATATAATTCTCAACCAGGAATGACTGTCCCAGCGATGTCAACCCGGGTTGCGACGTAAAAAAGATATGCCACAACTTAGGGCACACAAAAAAGAAAAACTGCGACTTTGCGCGACCAGAAAGTTTTTTACGCAATTTAAAAAATTCTGCATGACTTGGCGCGACTCAAAAACATATGTTGTAAATTTGCACGACCAAACATTTTTCCCCGCAATTTTGCGAGACCAATGAATGTTTGCGCGAACTTATCCGACTCACAATACACACGCTATAACTTTGCGCGACCGAGAAAATTTTTCACAGTTTTAGGTGACAAAAAAGCCTTTCTTCGACTGTGCACCACCCAAGTATGTAATGTTTTTTTAGTCGAACGCTGTCCAATTTTTTTTGACTTTCACCGACTTTACCGGACATGTTTTGTGTTTGTTCGACTGTATCAGACTTTGTTTGGCTTTGTTCGACTTAGTTTGGCTGAAACATGAGAAACAAACGCGGTTTTGCGCGACCCAAGTTGCGACAGCGCGACTTTGTAAGACCATTTTTAGCTATACTGCGACTCAAACATCAGTGCAAGTGAGCTTTTTTGATTGTGCGAAGGACATTTCTTCAACACATATCGGTCGCGAAATACGTCGCGGACCTGGACCCGGGCATGTGAGTTGACTACTGCATGAGAAACACATTTGGTCCACAGATAAAACTTCGCAAAATCAATGGCTACTCTGTAAATATGTCAAGTTGGGGTAAAGGGCAGAGAAGTAAAAAAAGTCAAATGTCTAATACTAATAACAAATATCTTCCAAAAATTTGCCCCCAATTTCTTTTTTCAAAGCCGACTTTTTGCCTGAAATTGAAAGCAGCATGCTCTGGGAACCCTTGCTGCGACTTTTTCCCTATACGGAGAGGCTAATTATGTCTGTGTGGGTATGTGAAAATGAAAAATCAGCAATCAAGGAGTCTCAATTCCTCTATATGCAAATTCATGACGTGTTCTGCAATCTAATTGACTTCTCTGAAATAATTTGAACTGAAATTGGAAACGAAATTAGATAAGAATTGTTCATCAACGTCAAACTTAAACCAGCGAATTGCAATTATCTTGGTTCCTATGAGAGATAACAATACATTTGATTAGAAGTCATGGACTTTTTTAGAACCTCAGCGGGACTTTTTCCGTCCAATTCCAATCCCCAACTTGTAATTCATTTTCGAAGCGTCTTCAATCAAAAAAGCAACGTGGTACTTGAAACGCTGTTGGTCTATTGTATTGAACTCTGTATCCATCTAATGATGTTTTTATCAAAGGATACTGCGCTTTATTTATTTTCATTTATTATTTATTTACAGACCAGGAAAAAGTCAGTCTATGGAAAAGAGATGCCCATAGCCATAAACTTGCCTAAAAGAATCCGTTTCGTTTTTTTTTCTGACAAAGCGATCGCATAAATACAACACACAATCCCTACATTTCTGAACACAGAAACAACGTGAAATATGAAAAGAAGCTACCTGCAAGTTTAACAGCTCATTCATTTGCATAACGGAGTGTGTTTTAATCGCACCTCGGGCGAAGTGATTACATTGTGATGGAAAAATTAGGTGAAATTTTATCGAGGGGGTAAGAGGCAATTTTCAAGGTATTATGGGCTTAGAGAGTAAAAACGGAATTGGGCGTCAACGCGGCAATACTTAAGATTGCTCTTGTGGAAATCTATGATTATGAAGTTTTGAGAAATAGCTTAGCAGCTATAATTTAGTTCTTATTCTCCTCATTGCCCGAGTTGACGCCCATAAATAGAAAATAAGCTAGACATACTATTCCATATATGGACTGTCTGAAAAAGTTTTTGTCATATAATTTCAATGCACAGACACTGCATGTCTAATATGTTTGACAACACAATTTTTCGTTCTGCACCAAAAAAAACTTCCTCGGATTTTATTAGCACATTTTTTCATCCCAAAAATTTCAAAATTTGTCTTATAAATTTTTCAATTTTGTACTCAAAGAACATTTGTAAAAGTGCGCAAACGTTCACAAAAAACTCCATTATAGATGCTTTGCGAACAAAATGCGTAAAAACTAATTTATTTGAAAAAAAATAAAGCTATTTTTTCTGCACTTTTTATGAAAATTTCAGTCAATTTGTCAAATCACTGCTTGAAAAGTAAGTTTTATTCCTGGCATATCACAAGTTGCTGTTATTTTGCAAAACTGGAAACACAAATCTGACATGTAACTTGTTGTTACTCAGGACAGATAGCTTTTAGGCTAAGCGAATTTGAATTTCTTATAAAACATGAAATCGAAACCACTTTTGTTAGATTTTTGAAGGTCAAGGTTTGATCATGTTGAAGATCCTGAGTCGTCAACTTTGATCCCTATACCATTTTGAATTTATATAGGCCTAAATTTCACTCCGAATTTATTATGGGCCTGTGTGAGGCGTGACAATATAAACAAGAATTCTTGTATCAAGGCGAAGCCTTGAAAGTTTCGACTGAAATTTAAGGTCTGTGGAGTAGTTTTCGTTCGCTTTTAGAAAATCGCTTTTAAAAAAAGAAAAAACTTCAACATTTTTGAAGTGTTTTTTAATTCTCCTCAAACACGCTATTTAAAATACAAAGCAGGGGCGGATCTAGAATTGACTCGGGGATTTTTTTAGGTCGACCAAAGTGATTTTCTGAGCAAATCATTAAGAGGCCAAACTGTGCGTTTTGTGAATTGTAAGCGGGTTCGGCAACAAGTACGCTCCCTTTGTTCTTCTTTTGTTCTTTTATTTTTTTTGATCGTTCCGACAAAATTTTGGCATGCTTAAAAACTTGTCTCTGGAATCCAGAGCACAGTTTGACTTCGTAATGAATAACTATTAGGAAAACATTTTGACCAAATTTTTTGCGCCGCAATATAATTTATGAAAAAGAGGCCAAAAATGGCGTTTTTAAACAGTTTTTGGAAAATTTTTACCAAAAAATTGCGTTTTTTTGGCGCGCGCTCCCCCTCCCCCTTAGAATTAGTTTTTTTTTTGGCGCCAAATGGGCTTTTAGAAATCTATGGGGTCGGTCAGCCAAAATTGGATATCTCAAAATTTGGGTCGGTCGACAGGGGGTCGAATCCCTGAGGAGAGGGGGGCATCCGCCCCCCCCCCCCCCCACTAACTCCGCTGGTGGTAGAAATGAGGCATGCTATAGATAGATCAAATAGCATGCCTCATTCCAATTTGGAACAATTTATTAGGACGGATTAAATTTCAGCTTACAAGTTAATAGCACGAAATATTTCAAGCGTTTAATTTCCCAAATTAGCAAAATTAGCAATACTTAAACCCCTATAATTTTACGAAAAATGATCACAGGTTACATATCTTATAAAATTTGAGCTAGGAAAAATACTTTATCTTTTGGACGATGAAACCACTTCCGCCAAAACTTGCTAATTAAAAAGTCGAAATTTATCTGGAGATAAAAAAAACACCCCGTGCACAAACATTCGTCATTTTCTTCGCAAATAGTCGGAGAATTTACATCAGTAAAATTGTTTAAAATAAAACATACAAGCTGTAAAGTAGAAAAGTAAGTCTATTTGCATGACTAAAAAAATGAAATTTATTCA